GCACCGCGACTGCGAGTCTGCGAGAGCGATGGGTGATGAGCTTGGTGAGGTGCAGACAAATACGGAGTATCCGTACGAGTACAGGATATACTACGCAGATATCCGTAGATGGAGATGGGTATGAGAGCATCACATGGCATCGCATCACATCACAATAAGCGCTGCAGCATTGGTCATACTTGCATTGCGGCACTCATCTACCAGATGGTTAAGATATCCGCGGTCTATTCTCAACGACTCTTTTCAAGGTGCTCTCCGGGACGCCCCTTCATGGCATCTTCCGAATCATGTCTACACGGGCCGCAGAAGAGTCAGAGGTCTTGAAGCTGTGCATAAGACAGCATTTATCAAAGAGTGTCATGTTCCTAGCAGACCGAGATCAGTTGACCAGGTTGAACCTGTGAATAGGCCATAGCTCAGTGCTTTGCTGATCTAATTTCTACCAAGCTCTACGTAATTCAAGTAGAGACAGGCAAATACCCATACATGTGTCGATGTGCGAATAGGCGTGACAAGAGTACCGGTAGATGGATTAACTCGTTGCATCCTTTTTGATTGTTCAGGTGGTACGGAGCAGTTGGGGCGTGTCTCAGCTCACTCCGAGTCTCACTCTTGATCTCATTCTCAGTCTCACTCATACAACACGAACAATGACGGTAAACCATGGCAGGCCCAGGCCAGGCCAGGTTCCTTCCCTCATCATGACACACCAACTTCAACCTAAAATGTTGCACTTGCCATTTCTCCCGCCTGCCGCTTTCCTCTCCCGTCTCCGTGGTCTCCGTGGCAAGGTACTAACTGTAAGGTACTTACTGTAAGGTAATCATTCATGTTGCCGTCCCTTCTTTTCGCGTCGGGTGTCTTGTTTCTTCCATCTCGCCCACAAACCTTGATTTCCACCAGACAGCATCGGGAGAAATCTCAATCCCACATCCCATGCTGTGGTGTACAGTACAGAGTACAGAAACATCCCGCTTCCCTTCAGGGCCAACCCGGCATCGGCACGGCACAGACTGTTCAGGGCCTCCCCTGTTCAATCTCTGCATTATTCCGAAGAAAACTCGCCCATTGTCTGGATCCTTGGCTTCGCCTTGCCTTGGGTTGTCGTCGTCGCCTCCGTCCCTCCTCTTCAGGCTCCTCTCTTTTCGACCGCATGCGTCGACGACCTGCAGGCCAACAGCTGAAGAAACATGTGTGCCAATCAAAGAGACCCCGACAGAATGCAGTCAACTCGCTTGCCAAAACCAGCCGCCCTCGCCGCCGCCTTCAAGTCTTCCACCTTCAACGTGTCCCATTCTTTATCAAACCACCGCTCTAGCCGACTTGCCAAAACTTCTTCGCCTCCTCAACCTGTAAGCAGCCTGCTCACCAACGGCCGAGTCTCGCCCACGAAGCCGTGGAATCCCCACAGGGGTACGGAGTTACAGCACACCGGCGCACAGGGAGGCTTGCTAGAGGCGCCGCTCAGGCGAATATGATCAACTCGAGTCTGGGAGGAAAGGGGCCAGATGCACAGGGATCGTGACTACCGACTTCGAACGAGAAACCAAACGCCAAAAACGCTGCCCACTCGAGCCGATCACCACGCGTCTAACAGTCGCGTTCCCAACCGTGAACACTCACACAGCAATGTTTACCGTCCGTCCGTCACAATCTTTTTTTAAAAAAAAAAATTTTTTAATTTTTTTTTCTTTTTCGCATTGCAAGCAGCATCCAGTGTCAACCTTTCCAAGGGGTTTCCCCAAGGGGCCCGAGAGCCGCTCCGAACAACCATTCAAACTACAACAGGCAAATTGATGCCGCACTCTCCAGACTCCGAGTCGGCTGCCCATTTGGCCTTACACCCATTTGACCTCACCATTGTAAGGTACTTGGGCACCTCAGAGGGGCACTTGTCCAGGAACGCATCGCCTATTCCACGTGTCGCTTCTTGCGTCGATTGAGTTTGGGCCTCCCCCTCAAATCGAGCCCCGAATGGGCTACCTACGCCCAGAGTCATTGGGAGACGAAGTCGGCATCGCATCCGTCTAGTGACAGAACTAAGCAACAGCTCTCCCTCACCAGAAACTTGGACCATGATTTAAATTGCGAGAAGTTGGCTTCGAGCTACCGGCGTAATCGTACGAACTGACGCCCACTAACTGACACCGCCGGCCGTACGTGCAGGCTCGGCCAACTACCAGCCAGTCTGCCCTGTCTCGGCCACTGTCAAACAGCCGGTGGCTTTTGATGTTGCGATTGTTTTTCGATTCGGCCTAGTCATTCACAAGTTCCTCGTCGGCTCTTGTCCACTTTCGTGTTTGAAGTCAATGCCGATCCTCTTGGCCCGGACAGGCCCAAAGACCCTGAGACCCCCCGTCAAAAGTCCTATCATATCATCATCCTCGGGCCTTGGGGCGACAAGTTCGTAGACTTATTACGGATACTTACAAACAGACTGAGCAGTGCTCCCGGCTCCGTCGACAGTGTGACACCGTATTAGTGCCGCCAACGTCAGCGCCTTCGGGCACCAAGCTTAGCTCCTCACAAGCGGGGTCTCTATCTTGGATATGGCGCTCATGATGGCTTGGCTTCGGGACCGACGAGCTCCACGACCACAAGGCCTGATTGAAAACGGTCAAATAATGGCGATTACGCTTGTTAGACTTGAATCCTGTCGATCGGCATCTTGCGAGACCAGCCACCTCCGGCAGTTCTCTACGATGCCCTCGTGCTTCTCGACCGGCCTACTGCCCCGGGAATGGCAATCATTGTCTGAGATGTACGCACACGAGGCTCGTCTCAGAGATTCAGACGGGCTACGGAGTATCGTCTTCATATTGGCCACCCTCTCGCGCCATCATCACCACTAGACTCAACTCCTCAGACCACTTTCGATGCGACTCTGGCCTGACCAAACACGCCAATGGCTGTTTCCCCTCATCCCCCGTCCTCCATCGACTTGTACCTTGCTGTTGCATGCACCGCACGTGGCAGACGCACCCATACCTGGCCGCTAAACTTCACCTGGAACTCGTGGACCACATGGGTTTTCAACGGACGACACGTTCCCATCAAAAAATGTGGCCAACCATATTGCTGCCGTTGTCGACTGTTGCCTGCCGTGGAGGATTTGACTTTTGCAATATCTTGGTATTTCTGAAGCTTCATCTCGAAATATGTTTCCAACGAATCGCGAAAGTCACTCAACAGACTTTTCATGAATCAGGCCCTGGGGATTGACCTTTGGGAGACTGCCAATCACTGCTCATCTCCCTACTCATTCGGCCGTAGAGCTTTCTCGGACATCACAATCTGCCAGGCCGGCCTGGTTAATTGAAGGTTTCCATTATCGGATTTCACTAAGCATGCTGGTTCCAATCAAGGTCGTTTCCGGGCAATCCCGTCCCATGGCTCCCATTTGACTTCATGCTTATACCGAATATCCGTACGAAGCTTTGTGGTTCGTCGACTTCGACTCGGTAGGCTGAATGCGTGCGGCTTACCCAGCGGGTCCAGAGCGAACACTAGAGACTCGAGTCATGGCATCGCTGGAGCTTCAAGTTGCTCCAAACATTTGACTGGGGCAACCACTACTGGTACAGTACTCCGTACACCGTACGGGCTGGAAAGCTGGGACAAACGGCCACCCACTCAAGCGGTCCGAGTCCCCTCCACCACGTGGTATCCCGCAGTCTGGTTACAGAATCTTGGGAGGCCTATCCACAGTCAACGCTTGTTCGGGATGAAGCTCGCTCGGGTCGGCGAGCAGCTTCGAGAGACGATGGAGCTTTTGCTGATTATGCTAATGGATTTGAACGTTGGCGAGTAATCAGAGTCGACGACAAGCTACGATTCTTTGTTTCCGACATTGATTTATCACCGAGGAATAAGTTCGACCCCTGTACGGACGGTAATCGCAACCATCATCTCCTTGACAAGTGCCACACTTTGAGAAGTATCATCGTTTCGGGGACACGGTCAGTGGCCTCGATGGACCCCTGAAGCCAACATCTCCAGCCGCACGTCAGCCGTGTTTGCTTGCGACGCTGTGTCGTGTCTGGTGGGCATCAACAAGTTTGTTGTTAGTACGAAACAAATTCGCTTGTGTGCTTGCAACTTCGTCCGAGTCAATCCCTCTCTCAATTTGCTCATCCTGATAAGTTCAGGACTTGTTATCTCAACGAAAGGGTTACCGGCACTGAGGCGCACGTCGCTAGCCGTCCTGGCCAAGTCAACTGAGTCATAACGAAGGGCGGTCAGCTAGCAATCCACGCATGCCCCATGGCACGTCTCACGAATCGTTCGAATCTGGTATTCCGCTGATCGTTCAGTGAATTGCTGTTAAAGGCTTTCGAGCGGCTGCAGCGATGAGAAAGAGCGGTTCGCAATACCGCGTCTATCACTCTGTGTGTCATGGTCCAGCTCGTTGTCAAAACCTCTCGCGGCAAGCTTGCGCATGGGCCATGGACCATGCAGCACCTCGATGCGCCCCAGCTTTCCGGCGGTTTGCTGCAGGTTGCGCGGGGCAATTGTGAGGTCTACGGGCATACATAGATGCATTGGCGAGCTTCACGGCAAGGACCCAAAGATTCATCACAGGTTGACGTGGTAATTACGCATCTTGATACTGATCCAGGTCTATCCTACTACCAAGTTTGCTCCCTTCCTTTGCCAAGCCAGGCTTCAGCTTTCACACGAAGAATGCAGCAACACCGGCCAGCTCGTCGGGAACATCGGTTCAGTGGCTTACGCTACTTCAAACATCTAGTATAATCTATATTGTATTATTTCAAGGTGTTTATCAGGGCACATACTACAGACTACAAAGAGCCCGTGTTTGACAGTTCCCTTTACTGAGTCTCCTGTTTTACTGGCCAGTACCGAACTTGACCTGGGCCACTATTCCAATCCACCCCTTCGCTCAGCCTCTCCTCATTGCCACCAAACCATCTCCATGCTCAAATGACCAACTTCGCGGACAATAAAATACTGATCCAAACCCTGACTGTTGAACGAAATTAAGGAATATAAGGCAGGAAAGGGTGAAACTCCGGCTGAGGGTGATATACCAGTGGCGGTACGTGGGACGTGTTATTCACTGGTGGTAAGAAGATGTCTCCATCGGACTCGTCGTTGCCATCGGACATGAGCGGAGACATATTGAAGTCTAGATTGAGCCTATTCCCCAAAGGCACTTCCACGGGCGCATAGATCGGCCCATCTTCATCGGGACGAAGCTTCACGAGAGCCAAATCCTCCTCGGAAGTAGCCCACTCGGCAAAGTGCCCCTTTAGCGTCCGGATCCCGCAGGGAAACCTCTCCTTGGAGCGTCTCTCCCTCATGAACATGCCCACCTCATTCTCGGCCTCGGGCAGACTTCCCGGGTCCTCCGCGGCCCAGACTTCAGCCGTCTCGAGGATCCGTTGCCAATTCACCTCAAAGTGGCGGGCCACGACCTCGAACCACGGGTTATACTCGGCAGCCGGGTTGGCGTTTTTGCGTAGATGGAGCCAGTGACTCATGGCGTAGAGGAGGGTGTCGGCGCGCATCTCTGTCTTGTATACCAATGAGGCTGCCGGGGAGAATGTCTGGCTGGGTTCGTTCCAGACCGGGTCCGGGCTGAAGATCATGGCTTGGATGGAGACGAGGAGCTGGAGGAGGGTGGACTTTTTAGGATCCCAATTTTCGGTGGCGCTGCCTGTCCAAGTGCCGAGGAGGGAGAAGCAGACTGTTGGCAAAAAAGGTTAGCTACGGACTATGAGAGTGCAGGTGGGAAATAAAGAGGGAGTTTAGTACCTTGGCCATTAGAGTACAGGTTCGGGTTGAATTTCCGACGGCTATATGTTGTTCTGAAAACCATCTTGGGTGGCCTCGCCGGGTAATCGAGAGGGCAGAACAGGTCAAATTCGAAGAGCCCATTCTCATACGGCGTGCCTTCCGGTCCCACGATGAGGACCTTCATGGCGTCCAACCGCGTGCCATCGTGGCGAACAAAGATGCCGTCGGGGAGCGTGGTACGCAGCATGGAGAGCTCCATCACGAGCTTCTTCATACGGCGGGGGGCGGTGGCCTCCGAGTCCGGGATGGGAATCTTAAAGTCACTTCGCCATCTTTCCGACTCCATCTCCTGTACCTTGTTTTCGCTGAGCCATTGTCGGGCGGCCGCGAGTCTCTCCTCCTTGCCGCCGGGAATGGTAGGTGGTTCTGCCACTGACGAAACAGTTGATTGTGAGTAAGTCAGAGAGGGTGGGTTGCTTCCTTCGTCAATAGTCACTTCCCTCTTGTATTTTTTGGGGTCCTCTCCTTCGAGTTGTTGGGAGATCTCGCAGATACGGTCGCACATGACGATCGTCTGCGAAAGACCTCGGGGACTGGGTTTGTAGAGTCGCTTCACCGATTCCGCCTGAACCCTCAAGGCAGAAAGTAGACTGACTAACGACTGGAGCGTTTCCTGAGGCTGATCCTGCTTCTCGTCAAGCTCCACCGCTTTCCCCTTCCCCTTGTCATTGGTACTGGAGCTTGAAGGCTTGTCTGGCACCGGGAGAGGGCCATATCCGAAGCAGACCGGGAGTAATGTGCGAGCGAGGGGATAGCTGATTCGAACATCACAGACCAGCGGGGCCGTGGCAGGATGTGCTGAGAGCACGTGGAGGAAGCCGAAGAGGGCCTGGTACGGAATTCCTTGCCGCATGATCTCTTGCATGCTATCATCCCGGAGAAGCTCTGCCATCCTGACCATTAGCGGGCTTCGGCGAGCCATGACCATTAACAACGGTGGAGGGTTCCGATCAAACTGGGAGGACATGGACGTTGAAGGCCATGCTATCGAAAGCGCGGCGAAAAGTCTGGGTAACAGTGCCATGCTATTCTCAAGGTCTTCGCGACGAATACAGGCGAGTTCATGGGGCTTCTCCTTCTTTCTGTCGAGCTTGCCCGTCGCGTAGCCCGTACCTTTGTATGTGCCTTGGTCATCGCTAGTCTTGCAGAAGCGCTTGAACCTCGACTCAGACTTTTTCTCGGCTTTGGGAGGCTTCTCAATGATCCAGTCTACTTGGGAGTCTTGGAGGATGGAGACCTGGGGGTTCGCAGCGTGGGCGGTCGGGCCGCAGAGGAGGGCAAAGATGTGGAAGAGTCGACCCGGGGGGCAGCACCATTTGGTTGACTCGGAGCTGGCGAATGGTGTCCTTAATTGTCTCCGATTCGGGAGCACCCAAAACAGTAAGAAATTCCGCATGAACATCTAACATAGTGGCTGCCCACTGCGATAGTCTTTCGCCCTCGAAGAATGTCACCGGCGTGTTGGAAGATGGTGCTGCTTTCAATTGCGACGCCACGCTTGCATCTTGGACATCTACGGCCCGTCGCAAACCTGATGAAGCGTCGGAGGACTTCTTCCTCTTCTTGGCACGATGGATTAGGAGACGAAAATTCCTGGACTATCGAGACGCTTGGCTGGTAATTGTCCGAAGGTCTGAACCAGGTTGGAGGTACGCACGGCGAGATTAGGGGTGTTGGTAACGGCTTTCGAAGCCTGTTCGGGGCGGTGCCGTGGTTGTAAGCAAACGCCGACGCAAGCACCTCCGGTGTGGGTTGATATGCCTGGACAGCAGTAGGATCGAAAGGCCGAGGTGTCACCCATTGAGTCGGCATTTCATTATTAATATAAGAATCTGGGGCTTGCCACATTTGTCGCTTTGAAGAGCCCAAGACGGCGGCCCGATCATCTGGCAGGATCCGTAGACGGGCAGAGTAAAGGTTGTTGTCTGCTACGTTTGTATCCTCTCCTGGATCTAACCATGAAGGTCTCATGCCTGCGCTAGAGGTCAAGGGTCGAAAGGGAGGGGATCGCGGATCCAAGGGCGCTCCACTGCTCTTCCCCTTTGCTTGAACCTTCTTCTTGATCGTCATTAGAACTCTTGACCGTATTGAATGCTTACCGACTCCGGAAGATGGGGCTGAATTATCCAATTCGTTCGTGCTGCCAGCTTCTGGAAGGCTCGTGTTGTTGGGTTGCTGGGCTTCTTGGCCGCCGAGAGTGGTATCCTGTTCCTTTGCGCAGATAACGAGTCAGAATAGTTACACCTAGGGAATATACTGAGGAAGCTCTTGGGGTCTATACGGCGAAGAATACCTGTGTCTTGGCTTCTACATCGGAACCCGATGGGAGGGCTGCCGGAATGTTTCCCTTCGTTGCAGATTTCTTCTCCTTGTGTCGCTTGCGGAGGGCCTTGAGAGGCCAAGAAATGCGATACAACATCCAAATAAGTGTAAGTGTAAAGAAAGGGGTGAAGAGAAGGGCTGTCCACATCTCTATAGGCTTGATGGCCTGCGTGATCGAGGGTCGGGGGTACGTTGGGATGAAATTAGTCGCATCGAGGGATCAGAAAAGGAGAACAAGAGGAGAGAAGTGAAGGGAGGCGCTCAGGCGGCGGGCTTTTTATAACGGCATCGTTCCTATCAAAACAGCATTTGGTCAACTGAGTTTGTGACCAGCTCGAGTACCCAAGGTTCAGTCCTCGATCTACAGGCCCAAACGGATCAAAAGACACCGGCACGGCGTTCCGATGCTTTTTCTCTCTTGCCGGTGGTTGGCCCACACACAAAGCATAGTCCTTCCGGGTTGAAGACGGACTACCCGAGCAGCACGGAGCAGGAGAAGCAAGTGGACTCCACAGTTTATATAAGGTTCATCTTCAAGGTAGGTAAAATATGTACACGAAGATAATATGGATGCGACGTCTTGAGCCTTGCGCCATGTATGTAGAAGAAAGTGAACAGCACTTAGAAGGCTGGGTTGGCGTTTACGAGGAGCTGCTCGAAGTAGGCCTGGAACCAAGTTCCGGCTTCAGGAGCGGGCTTCAGGGCGTCCTCTTTGCCACAGTTGTAGTCGTAGCGAGTGGCAGTAGTGAGGGAAGTGCCGTCACTCTCACCACCAGGCTTCACCCAGACAAAGGAATCAACAAGAGACGAGCCTGTGTTGGTAGAGGGACGAAGGCCAAAGCCGGTGCCGATGGCATTGCACCAGTCACCCCAAGCCAACTGGCCAGTGGGCTGCTTACCGGAGCGGCCTTGGTCAACGATGAAGTGAGCGTCCCATCCCTGAGCGGCGAGGAGGGGCTGGAGAGCCTCGACGTAGTGCTTCTCATCATAGTTGGAGTTGCCTAGGCCAGTTAGGTACGGAAATGTTGGAATGATGGACGGGTACTGCTTACCTGAGGTGTAGGAAGGCGGGGAGCTAACGCTCCATGCGTTGTAGTTGGCAACATTGGTAACGATTCCACGGAGAGCCTTAGGGCTGCCGGCATCCTTGTAGACCTTTGCGTACATGTTTGCGGCGGGTCCCAAGTTTGCAGCCCACTGAAGAAGTATGTTAGATCAGAAGAACGTGTATGGAGCGTGGCGCGGTGAAAACTTACTCCTAACCAGCCCGCGTGGCCGCCATCAAGGTACATGGCGACATTGGGCAGGTTGAGCTGAGTGACAGCGTAGTTGGTGCACTCGAGGTAGGCGGCCTGCGCACCGGAGCACTTTGCAACGTTGAGGTTGGTGACCAGGTTTGCCAGGGAATCGGGCTCTGTATTGAAAAGTCAGGAAACATAGTTATTGACGAGTGGGAGACAAGGTAGTTACCGATGACCAGGAGAATGCGAATGTCAGAGTACTTGAGAATCATGGTGCGGATGGCGTCGATGTACTCCTTGTACTTGGCAACGCCGCCGTCAGCAATGGCGTACTCGCCGTTAGAGGCGGCGGCAGCGCAGTCGCGGTCGGGAAGATCGTAGACGACGAACTGGCCGGCGTAGTTTCCGCCAGCGGCGTTGGCCTTGCGAATATCGGCCAGTGTGGAGTCTACCAAGGGAATCTTGGCGCGGGTGTCCCTTGATGGTGTCAGCACAAGGCGGCCTTTAACACCGAAGTCTACAACATGGATGACTTACATCCACATGAAGGTAGGGACCTTGGCAACGGCAGCAGCCGCCGTCTGCAGAGCAGGGCTCAGGGACGGGATGGCCAAGGTCGTAATCTCAGAGGCATAGTATGAGTTGGCCCAGAGGTTGACGCCGGCAAAGGGGTTGCCCGTGTAGGTGGCACCACCGGTGACCGCGGGAGCGCTAGTTGTGGCAGTTCCGGCCCGCGTGGTAGTGGTGCCGGCCCCGGCGGTTGTCGAGGTTCGGGAAGGGCTGACGACCGCTGAAGAACTGGAGCGGACAGTCGATGAAGCGGCGGCAGAGCTGGAGGCTGAGGCGCTGCCGGGCAAGCACTGGCTGTAGTAGGCGTTGTTGACGACGCAAGTGCTGCCAGAAGCACAGCACGTAGGGCCTGTGAAGCCTTGGCCACCGCATTGTGCCCTTAGTCGCCAGTCAGATTCTCTCCTCGTTCGAGCTGAGTATCCTACTTACCAAACGGCTCCGCAAGATTGCCTCTCCTCGATGGGGACGGCAAGAGCAGCAGTGCCCAAGAGGGCAGCAGTGAGGAACGCACGAGCAGCCATTGTTGCTTCGGTTCTGTATGATGTTGGCTTGACTCTGGAGAGGTCGATATCCGTGGGTTGCAAGTCTGGAGATTACGATGAAGGACCTGGGAGATGATCCTTTTATCATGTTGCAAACCGTAGTTGAGGACTCGGATCTCTTGAACACACCGCTTGGCCTTTCGGAACGGCGGGATGGACGTGTCCTGGGCCTATTCTGGGCTGCCGGCGGGAGAGAGACATTGCCCCACGATCTCGGAGTGAAGCTGCGGCATCTTGAACTTGATTACTCCTTTGAGAAAAGCGTCGAGGAAGAAGACCAGGCCGAGGGAGCCATCGTTACCATGGATCCATGGGGTTGTGGAAGAGACATCCGAAGCACGGGTCTCGAACCATGGAATCGCCTGGTTGACGGCATGCTGGACAAGGTCCTTAAAGCTGGGCATGAACACATGAATTGCTGGCGGTTGCAACAAGCTACGGCCGCCGTCGATATTCAATGGCGTCGAGGAGGAAAGTCCGCCAACCAAGGTGTGGGCAAAGTGCGGGTTGGATGTAACGGAGTGTAAGTCATCTCGGAGGCGACGCTCCATATTAGCCACGAAGGGAAGAGCGCGTTGGTCATGGGGGCGTGATGGATGTGGGGACCTTTGAAGAGGGTGCCATGAGGGGTCGGAAAGGTCTTTGAATCGTTCCGGTCAAGTTGCAGTCCAGCAAACTCTCGATTGGAAAAGCGGCTTCGTTGCCCGAGATAACGCTGAGTAGAAATGGCGTGCCTAGGCCGTTTAATTTAAAGACGGAGGATCGCATCGCGAACGTGTCGCAAGGCGTATGTAAAAGACAGAGGTAGCCAGTCACGGGATGCGAAGTTGGCGGATCGAAAGCCGAAGCGAAAGTAGCTTGGCTCCAGGCACAGAGATAGGTACCATCAGCGAAAAGAGAGACAAGCATGGCGAGTAGTCGGAGCCGCACCCAAGAGGCAAGAGGCAAGACGCAAGACGCAAGGGACGACAAGCGAGTTGGAGAAATTGGGGTTTGTGTGGTGGTGAACCGCGTCGATGGTGGTGCCGTGGTACTCGGACCTGTCTGGTGTTAATGAGGTTAATGAGTGTCAAGAGCGGAAGCAATCAATACTGATTGCCTACCTAATAACCATCGGCCGTGAATCTTGGGTTCCCACGCCTGCGGGAACGATCCAAATTGACGTTTCGTCGAGCCTTGACGTCCAGCAACCTCATGTCATTATCGCGGTGGCGGTTGGTGTCCGTTGTGAAAGGCTTCGCTTGAGAGTACACATAACATATGCAAGCCATTGATATCCATAAAGTTGACGCGAGGAGAGATTACCATCCAAAAGTCGTGTACCGTCAGCTATGTAGGTAGTTGGTGGGTGGTGACAAGAGCGTGTCGAGACAGACTCTTTTCTTGGTGGTGAGATGCCAAGGGTTCATGGTACCGACGCGCATCTTTCGGACGCACAGCCACGTGCTCGATATCGTATTCCATCCGTATCACGGCCTAGAGAGTTGAGACAGGCATGCTGTTGCAGACGAGGATTGTACTTCATTGTCTTGGGAAGAGCAGACTCATGGTGGCCGTGGTTGTGGTGGTGGTGGTGTAAGAGGATGAAGACAGCTGGGACAGAGGTATCAAGAGGTGTTGACACTGTCCGTAGACACAGTGCTTACAGACACTTCAACCAATGGTGGAGCTCTTCTTCTTACCTTAGGTAACGACCGACCGTTTCCCGTCAAAACGGGTGGATGGCCGCACGTGAGTGGATCACGTAAGTGGATCACATAAGTCAAACTCCAAGGTGCTTACCTAAGACGAGAAGCATGGACCATTCTGCCCCATACCGCACGGAGCGCCGGTCCACCGCGAGCCTCACCGCCCGGACCCTTTTGGGGCCTGGCAGAATTTCCCGCCGGTCCCGAAACCGTTCCCCCTCGACCAAGTCGCAAAGTGGAAGCTCCCCTGACGGCTGACCGAGCCAATTCCCGCCGCTGTCCCCGCCGTGTCCCGCCCGCGATCCTTTGCCTCGAGAATCACCAATAAACCCATCCCACCAGCTCTACTACTGTTCACCACCACGCGCCCTTCCGAGTTCCCGTCCGCCCGTCAATCCCCGTGGTCGCTCCCCTCGCGCGCGAGCCCTCACTCCTGTGATCCGCCACGATGTTGTCCGGAATCCTCATCTTCAACCAAAAGGGCGAGAACCTCATCTTTCGCGCCTTTCGCAACGATTGCAGGCCCAGACTTGCCGACGTCTTCCGGATTCAAGTGATCTCGAACTCCCAAGTCCGGTCCCCTATCTTGACCCTCGGAAGCACCACCTTCAGCCACGTGAAGCATGAGAACATTTACCTTGTTGCTATTACCAAGAGCAATGCGAATGCTGCGCTGGTCTTTGAGTTCCTCTATCGCTTAATTGCGTTGGGACGGGGCTACTTTGGCAAGTTTGATGAGGAAGCTGTCAAGAACAACTTCGTGCTTGTCTATGAGCTGCTCGACGGTATGTGCCACACCAGCTCAATGGACTGTGTTATTAGTGTGCTCTTCTAACGCTTGCTGTCCTCCAGAGATCATTGACTTTGGCTACCCTCAAAACACCGAGACCGACACCCTCAAGATGTACATCACGACCGAAGGCGTCAAGTCAGAACGAGCCGCCGAGGACTCGGCCAAGATTACAATGCAGGCGACAGGCGCGCTCTCGTGGCGCAAGGCAGATGTTAAGTACAGAAAGAACGAGGCCTTCGTCGACGTGATCGAAGACGTAAACCTTCTCATGTCCGCCACGGGAGCAGTCCTCCGCGCCGATGTCACGGGTCAAATCGTCATGCGCGCCTACCTCTCTGGTACCCCAGAGTGCAAGTTCGGTCTCAACGACCGGCTACTTCTCGATAACGACGGGCTCCTGAGTCTACCGAGCGGAAACAGGATGGGAACAAAGGCCACCAAGGCCGCCGCCGGCAGCGTCACCCTCGAAGACTGCCAGTTCCACCAGTGCGTAAAGTTGGGCAAGTTTGACAGCGATCGCATCATCTCCTTCGTCCCGCCCGACGGCGAGTTCGAGCTCATGCGCTACCGCGCCACCGAGAACGTCAACCTCCCGTTCAAGATCCACGCCATCGTCAACGAGGTCGGCCGCACAAAGGTCGAATACAGCATCGGCATCAAGGCAAACTTTGGCGCAAAGCTCTTCGCCACCAACGTCGTCGTCCGCATCCCTACACCGCTCAACACTGCTAAGATCACGGAACGGTGCACCCAGGGCAAGGCCAAGTACGAGCCCAGCGAGAACAACATTGTGTGGAAGATTGGGCGGTTTACGGGACAGAGCGAGTTTGTCTTGAGTGCCGAGGCCATCTTGACGAGCATGACGAACCAGCGCGCGTGGTCGCGACCGCCCCTGAGCCTCAATTTTAGCTTGTTGATGTTTACCAGTTCAGGCCTCTTGGTTAGATACCTCAAGGTATTTGAAAAGAGCAATTACTCAAGCGTCAAGTGGGTGCGGTACATGACGAGAGCGGGGTCCTATGAGATACGGTAAGCCTGGCCTTTTCTATCATCATTATCATCATCCCATGTTCTAAGCCCTGATGCTAATCATCTCACAGTTTCTAGCGGGGTAATTATACGTGTATGTGTGGTTTTGAGCTTGCGTGGTATATGCATAGTATGGCGTCAAAAGGTATTCCCAGTAGAGAAAAACTGGTGGGCTTCAGCACGTTTTGTCAATGTTTACGGCGGCCATATTGTTGTCAATAACGTCTCTTCGTCCAGAGATTATAGTAATACAAGGTCTCCCTTCCCTAGCTCGCATCCTTCTAGTCGTTGCAGCATGTCTCGTTTCGACGAAATCAGCTTCTCGTTGCCCCACGTCAGCCGATTCAGCCGATTCAACCCAACTACTTGGTCCAGCTGGAATAAGCGCCCCCTCGTCCGTCAGCTTATCTCGCCCTTCTCGCGCCAAAAACGTCTCTTGTTCTCACCCGCATCGCTAGCTTGACTACCGCAAGCTCATGTTCATATCCTCATTGGTTACTTCCTCCGAACGGCCGTCCGGATAACAGTCCATCATAGTCGTGGTGTCCACGCCCTCCAACTCATCGTCTTCCACCAGCAACACCCTGATTCCTTCAAAGTCCTGCGTATCCGCGTCTGCCTGCTGGCTCCTAATCATCTCGTCCATGACCCTCGCAAACACGTAGATCGGGTGCTCGTCAGACCAACCCATGCCCTCCAAATCGAACACCTCCCGGTACGTCTTCCCCACGCCGTGGATCACGTCCGCTGTCCGCGATCTAGCCGCATCTTTGTGTCGACTGTGGAGCTGGTCATGTAGATCGCCGCGGGTCTGGAGCCGAGATCTCGTGATGTCCTGCTTCTTGCACCGGACACATCGGCCGTGGCAGTGGTCAACCAGATACAGCACTCGGAGTCCCCGTTGTATACAACACGCCAGATACGCCACCTCTTCGAACAGTACCGCCCCAACCGTTGCCGGCGTCCACGTCTCCGCAATATCCAAAGCGATGAGTCGCGCATCACGTAACGTCTCCGCGATCTCGGCGCTCCATGGCCCTTCGAGCACCTCGGTCAAGCTGTTCACTCCCGACGCCTCATATTCGCCAAATAAGACTCCGTGGCTGAGGTCTGTGAGGGCACCGCCGTCTCCGAACCGCAACAGCAGCACGTCTTCTTCGTTGTCGTAATGTATCCTCTGGTTTCGACCGGGGAGGTAGACTGAGTTCGTATTCCTCCCCCTCAACCGCCTCTCCACAGCCGCCGAGGCTTCAGAGCACACTAGTCGCATCCTATGTCGTTGTTTGTAGACGGATGGATCGTGCATGTGTCTTGCAATTCTCGTCTGCCGCGCAATTTCCGCCGGCCCGGTTTCTAGGGCGTCCAAAAAGACGCACTCTCTGTACTTTGTCCATCTAGCGTAGTTATCTTCTATAATTCTGCCGTCTGCGGATTGGAAAGCCCGGCTGCTTCGATCAGTGCCGCGCCAGGACGGGAAACAGACATCAAAGATGTGTATTGACGGTCCGGCTGTTGCTTCATCCCAGATTTTGAGGCGGAGCTCGGCAGGGAGCTCGGCGAATTTTGTGAATGGCATCGTGGGTGACTTGAGACGGTGCTGCTTGGTCTCGGACGAAACTTTGGCTTCGGATCGTGATTCTCGTAGGGGTTTATAAAGATAGTTCTGAAGGGCCCTCATCGAACTCGACCCCGGGAACCCCGTCGCTGGCGAAAGAGTTGACCACCCAGACACCCACTCAACAGCATCCACTGCCAACTCACACATCTTATCCATGCTTACTCTCACCTTACTGTCGTTGCTCTGATGTTGCGACGTGGGATGATGAGACTGGAAAACACAAAGCAAGGCTGTTCTCAACGATGTTCCTTCGAAAAAGGACCGCTCACTCGTATATCTGTTCTGGGCGTCAGCGCTTACATGCGTTTTCAACAGCGCAGACGCAGAACGCCACCATCAGATTTGGCCGTTGGTCGTCGCCCGTCTGATAAGCCACGCGACACCCGCGCCGCCGGGTCGCATAGCACACCAAAATACAATGGCAATGTGCCCATTGGCCGGGTTATGTGTGAGCTTGGCGTTTGATGGAAGATTGGCTCAACGGCTGCATGGGTCCGCCTAGCCGGGAGAGCTGAGGGGATAACAAGAGCCGATCTACGGTGTTTGCTTCGGTGGCCCGGGTGGAATGACCTTTCTGTCGATACCATTTGCCTTGCGCACATCAGCCACTGCTTTTAGTTATCTGGAGCCCTGGATATCAATCATGTTGCTAATTTTACTGATTTCTTCTCGACAAATCTCTCTTGCTGACTCCTCAGCATGCCCTTATACCATATCCTCTTCCTGGCGCTTACCCCTTCCATCGTCCCCCTCATCATCATTAGAGCGTCTCATCAAACTGATGAATGTTGTTGTCCTCTCAACCTGCTCTTTCTTACTTAAACTCCAGAATCGTTCTGAAGGTTGGTGGCATTGGCGCAGGCGGGGTAGTCCGGGTGCTCATCGGTACCCAGGTTGCCAGGCCAGTAGTTCTTGCAGTCATACGCCCAAGTATTCCAGCTTGCACAGAGACTATGGGCATTATCCAGAGCCTGAGAGTTTCCGGCTGGCCAAATAACGTTGGCGTCGGCCTGTCGTTCCATGATTTGTAAAGACAAGCCCGCAGAGGCGTGGCCCGCAATATGGCAGTGCATCAACCAGACGCCGGGGTTATCTGACTTGAAGGCGATGACAGCGTAGCCGTTCTTGGGGAGAAGTACCACGTCCCGACGGGGGGGATTTTTCGTTTTGACCATGTTAGGATTGAAGTCTTCCTTGCTCCACAACTTGTTATCCTCTTGCTCGATGATGGCAAAGTCATGGCCGTGAAGATGGATCTGAATGCGGTCAGTCTCATAATGCTGAATAAGGGCACTGCTACTTACGGGGTGAGGACCAAATGTTGGGTTGGTCGAGTCGGTGTTGTTGGAGTTAAGAACCAGATAAACCTATTTAAGTTGCTGGTCAGTGACAGATTCATCTGGAGATGATTTGAAACACGAAGTATTTGTTGGAAAGCCAGTGTACCCGCAAGCAAACTTACCCAGTCATCGGCGGTATAGTTCTCAGGCACAACTACCCATCCTGTCGGCCACTCGTCGCCAACGTTGTCGAGATTCAAGAAGGTAGGGTTACCATATGTAGTTTGGAATGGCCGCATCTCCTCACTGTCAGGTCGCTCGAAGGAGAAAAAGGCTGTCGCATATGGTCCACTTTTCATCGCTGCGTTATGGAGGTCCGCAATGTCAAACTGCTCCCCAACATAGCCGTTTGAGGGGGGTCCAACCATCCAGGGAACAGTGGGCACAAGCTTGTCGTTGACCTCCGTGTCGGAGACAATGAGGCTAATGTTCCAACCCGTTGTAGTGGGATCAGCTGTACTGGATCTGTCGTAACGCAGGATGCCAGTCTTCATGTAGTTGTGCACATCCACAGTGGCGTTGCCTTCTGATGTCCGATTTGTGCCTTCTTGCAGTGGAACCTGGGTGCGAATCCAGAAATTGCCATCCTCCGGTAAAGGATTGGCATCGGGGTTCGAGCGGTCAGCCACCGGCTTTGCCTCGACGATGATGTGATATCTCTGTCCGATGGCGATGAGGATAGAAGTAGCGTTGAATGGCTCAACGGGAACGAAGTCTGCCTCGACGACGGTGAAAATATGGTTGTCGATGGAGAAGATAAACGTTGATTCATAAGCAGTGTTGACAAGGCGCAAAAGGTACCGCTTTGCTCGCGTCAAGTGGTTGGGCTCAATGTCATCGAACCAGATCTCATAGCCACGGGGAATCTCTGTGATGTTATCAACACCTCCGCCAGTGAATCGAGTGATGTTCCCGATGCCACCCAGTAGAATGTCTTGTCCCGTTGCAGCTGTGTACATGTTTTCAAATGCACTATTGTTCGCTGAAATCCATCAGTTAGCATCAGCTCGGTACAGCCAGACAATGCGGACAACAAATGGTTCAGCCTGACTCACCCCAATCAGTCACCGAGATTGGCTCGATAGCCTCGTCGTACGGGAATGACGTTGGTCCGTGGATGGTCTGGATTGAGGTGGTCAGCATTTAAGTTTTGAAGAGACTGGAGCTCAAGAAATATGACTTACAATGGGAGCTTGCAGTCCATCGGCGTACTGAACTGAGTAGTGGCTGTGATACCACGAGGAGCCGTACTGTGTGGCATTCCATCTGTAGACAAAGCTGGACTGTGGGGCGATAGGGCATTGTGTGATTCCGTTGACACCGTCCATGTGCATTGTTTGATTCTGCCTGATGCCATGCCAATGGATACTGGTTCCGTTGTTGACGAGGAGATTCTGAACGTGGATCTCCACAGTGTCACCCCAACAAGCCTCAATGAGAGGCCCAGGCCAAGTGTTGTTAAACAGTTTTGCTTCGGTGAAATTTAGGCCGTTCGCATTGATGTAGCTATCCGTAACGTTGAGGTAGTAAACACGAGTAATACCTTGCGGCATCTTGTCCTCGTAGTCGGTCGTGATGTTGTATTCTTCTCCGGTATCCGAGTTGCGAAGCCAGCAGCTCCGGTCCTCTGCAGTGCCGCATGGCTTGAAGCCTTTCATCTGGCTGTAGTCACAGACAAATTTGTCAATGTTGCTACCAGGAGGCGTGAAGACGGGGCTGCCATGTCCAGCGGTATCCAGGCCGGTGTGAGACCAGCTAAACTTGGCTCCTAGGTGGTGTTGAGATCCATCCCGGAAGAAGGGTGAACCGAAAAGTGAATTCGCAACATCAGTTACGATGATCCAGACATGACGAAGGGCCAGCATGGTGGCTTGTTCGCGAGGCAGCTCGAAAGCTGGCTTACAAGATAAATGATGAGAACCTGCTCGACATGCTTTGCTTCAAGGGAGTCATGAGAAAGGGGATTTGAGCATTTTTGAGCACGATTCGTGTCGCTACGTTATCCTATCAGAAAGCCTAGCATTTTGCCTTCATAATCATTCGCGGACCATTCAGCCCTTGGTCTCTTGATGGCTGGGGATACTTACGTTCGAGGCCGTGATGACTTTGGACTGGAACGGCGTGGCGTTTAGACTCAGAATCGCAACCGGACATGGAACGCGAGTTGATAAAAATGTTTGCCGCCACGAAATTCCACCAACTTATCCAAGGGATACAATACGGTGATCTTCATTCGAATCAAGATCTTCTAGTACGACTGGAAGAATTTCATAATCGAACTTGAACCTACTTGATGTTGATGCTCTAGCCGTCCGACTATGTAACTCGGCATTCCTGTCTCCTGCATCTTTGGAAGGGCAGAGGCGATTGGAAAGCACCGCTGGGGGATCTCGGAAGAGCAAACACTTGCATGAGGAGAAATAAGAGTGATATGTGACCGAAGCAACAGCCCGCTTTTGATGCTGCCAGCCGCCCGGCCCAGCCCAAGGAACGGGCTGGCAAGTAAGGGGCTAGAAGTGATTGGTCGCTTCCCGCTCCGTATTGAGACAAAGCCATAATTACCAGGTTGACGAGCGTGATAAGGTTCGAACCGTGGATCACCACTTGACTGGATGCGGCAAGACACCACCGGCAACTACGGGTGCGGGTGAGGGGTTGAACGGTCAACTGCCACTGAATTCTCGTGGAGCGGCTGAGGATTTCCAGCTCCTCGCGCTTGTTGTTAGCTGATTCAAGTTGGATCACTCGAAGTATGCGGGGAATAACGTGGTGATTGGCGTTAACTATGAGAAGTCCGGAATGCAAACGGCTCATGGGGAACTCCCTTAGCTTGTGATCATGCCATTCCATGTTAACCATGCTGAAATTCGGGAAGAGCATCCAATCATTCAGCAAAGACTAAGACGATTGCGATCAAAGCGGTGACTTGTCTTGCTCAGTTCTCTTCTATTGAGAGAAGACTAACAATTCCCGTCTCACTTAGTGAGACCGCGAGAAGCTCAGATGTCTTGGCGTCTTTTCAGCCTCTCTTCACCTGTACAAGGGCATATGATAATGAGAGATGACCAAAATAACTGAGTACATCTGCAGTAGAATGCGGGAGTATTCCTTGAGGATGGTTCATGGGCTGATGCTACATAAACGATAGTTTTTGTTGAAGGTCTTATATAAGGATTGGCTATTCATCGCTTGTTGTTTCAATAATAAGCTTCGAGAGAAACGGAGGCCAAATACTCTGCAAAATGAGGACCGAGTCACATAGGCTACTAAGCATACAATTACGAAAAGAATAGTGCAGATGGTCAGCATTTCGAATCGTTCAGTGACGAATCTTCTTTCTTTCCGAGCACTTGGCCTCTCGATGGCGGCGCTAAACGTCGTTTACTGAGACATGGGCTTCCAGGGCTCCCACTCGCACAGCTTCGAATTTTTCAGATCTAGGCCTTTTGTGCCACCATGAAAACTTGCCTCAATTTGTTCCAGACCCGTCTGTGTTACGGCTTGTGTGGAAATCTGGAGCCCAGCATCGTCCAAGTCCAGCTTCAACTGCCCATGAAGTGCAGCAGTCTCCAATATCTCCGGCCGTAAGCTCTGAATCAGCTCCGAGTGAATCTATTGAAGATTTTCACGGCCACATCAGCTCCAACAGTTCTTTTTCTTGACAGAGATCCACCTTAATGGGGAAGGTCTTGCGCTTTCCCAGCTCTGCTGGTAACCGAGGAGCCAATGCTTGAACCCTGTGTAGCCGACGGAAAGGTACAGCCGCATTGCAGTTTCGGTAGGCGGATTTGCTCTCGTATGATATATCTCCGGCACGAATTCCCAATTCGGAAGAGTATTCCGACCCGATGTCTAACAATACGCGAAACTCCAGCGCCCTAGGAGTCCATCAAAACGACTGATCGATGATAAGACCAATATATTTTCGTCCATTGAGTGAGAGAAGCCCGGCCCAGGAGGCTTGATATCCTGTTGCAGCCACTCCGTCGCTGAAGAATCGACTTCCGGTCCCTAGGAACCCGTGAAGTACGCCAGGAAGCCTCCATATCAGCCATGAGTGGCTTTCACTCTGACCTGCATGACTTGACAGACCTTGATCGCACTTCCTGCTGATCACATGCAGTGTCACCATTTCAAACAGCCACAGAAGCGGCTGGGCCTTGTTATAAGTGGTTGATCTGACGTGCCTTACAGTAGTCTGCCCTTGCAGTAGTCTACCCTTCTGCGTCGGAGCTGGCCGAACGTTTTCATTGGATACCGTACTTGGTTTAATGTTGGGACTTTTGGCGAGACAATATTTTCGGGGTTCCGCATTACTGAATGAATGTGTTAGCTGCTACATGTCACTGTTTTTGCGAGAGCTCTCGTTGGTGACTCTTGCATATCGAAACTGTTGGCGGTCACTGATAATAGCGCGACAAGCACGCAGGAATATTCCAACAGAGTCAAAGATGTGCTATCTAAGGTATGACACGCTTCTTTGGCGCACACTCCTTTGACTGGGGCACACAGCTGCCGCGAGTTTCGGGCTGAAGACTGGGGGATAAGTTATGTGTGACCCGATTAACCGCGCCAAACGCCGGTGATGCGTAGGAGTTGGCCGCCATTAACTTGACTCCTGCTGGAATCTCAACTCCGAGTCCGAATCCAAGATTACACTACATCTTACAGCTCTCGATGAGGCAGAGCCAAAGGGAATAGTCGGACGCATTCTACAAGCCCTCTCCTCTGTATATCATTTCATCTCATTTTACTTACCCCTCTTTCCTCCTCCAACAAGCCGACGTGATTGCGAATAAGATGCGTAAGGTCATCAATCTCTTACACTGGCATTGACCGGGGGGGGACTAGACATTTTCTCATGATTGGAAACAAGGGTACTTTCGTGGAACTGAGCCCTGAAGTCCGGGATCACACGAAAATGCTGTACATCCACTCTGTGACAAGGCAATTCTGGGGTACATGGTGTTGTCCCATATCAGCTTCGAGAAAGGTGCTCGACAGACATTAGGGGGTTTCTAGAACGCCTTCGAATATCACGATGATGGGCGAACATCATCGCTAGTCCCGTCAGCCTTGGAGCTCGGAACCAGTAGCCCGGAAATGAGAATGACAACTCGTGGGAGCCAGGGTGATAGCGCCTTCGTGGCTGATTGCCATGCCCATCTCATGTGGCCTCCATATGGGCGACGAAAAGGCAATCTGCCCGAAGCTGTGCATTGTTACAAAAGTGTGCCTCTGTGTCTCATTCCTCTTGATATCATTGGAACTTCACATTGAAGAGAACCCTGGTTGCAAGACCGGTAAGCATGCGCAAGCCACGTGCTTCGCCACTCTCCGGAGGGACAGTGAGAATTGCGACCCATGGGTTTGACAATGGCGGCCAATTATTGAAGCCTGAAAGAGGAATCGTGCCATTCCCCCAGGGCCCGCGAGGCAAACATCAGAGAAATGAGGTGGTCAGGTCCCAACAGCGTGGTAACGACGAGCCGGGGCTTTGAGATGGACCAGATGCCCAATACTCGAGGTTCAGCGAGAAGCAGCTGTGAACTGCGTCAAGGGACGTATGAGGAGTCCTAATGGTAGTATAAGAGGATTCATACCTGCACCCAGAAGTGTCGAAAACACTCGGCAACAACAGCATCAAACATCACGAGGTACCATCCTAATCAATATCAAACCGATCTACTGAGTCACCTGGCTTTCTCTTGACAACTCACTGTTACCTCGTCTGGCAGATGCAGGCTGCTTGTGATAACCAATTTTATCGGAATTCTGTTCATAAGTCAGCCCAAACCGACACTCAGCTCCATCATACACAATAAACCCAGTTCGCCTGGAGTCCGCAATTCCTCGAACCGTCTCTTGGCTCCCACTGCTTACACAAAACATCTGTTCGGGGCTCGCATCTTTGTGCCACGTCATATTTCGATCAACCACGGAATTTTCTGTCTTTGAGATCGGTCTCCGCATCTTGTCTAGGACTCCTTTTCGTGCCTGTTCTCGACATTTTCGATACCTTACTACCACCAACTACCTAAACGGGGAAGAACAAACGGCAGCAGCCCTTGTGAAGACTACCACTACCTTAGAATCTCTCAGCTCAACTTTGGGACATCAACCATGTGCACTTGGTCCTACCTTCACCACCATCACGTTCAGCCGTGCCCTCGGCCGATTGATAATGTCTTCCACTGGGAATTTTGCATGGACGCTGGAAGAGATTCGGATGGCAGTTTCCAGACTCCCTGCGAAAGAGTCACTTCCAATGCGGTTCAGAACGTTGATTTTGATAATCCTTGCGCAACCGGAGGCTGTCTGATATCTCCCGATTGCAGTGCCGGCAGCTGCCGTTTGCAAGAATTGAATGGCTATTGGATCTGTTGTCAATGCAGCAGAGGAAGCAACACACTGCGCTGGTGTCGACACAAAATGAAGAAGAGTCCAGACACTTTCTGCTACCACCGAGTCTGCAGAAATTGTACGGCGGACACCAACACCTGAGTCCTGACGAACGCGCTAGGGCAAAACAAGTTGATGGGTACCGCACAGCCATTGAGCTCTATTGATAGACGACGACGTGGAGATAAGGAAGAATACACGAGTTCGCAAAAGTGATTTGGAATCTTTCAACAGACCGACGGTTTTCTATTCCAGAAGTGGCGCCATATCTCACTCAATGCCCGTTCACCAGCCGCCACATCCGAGTACTCGGCTCTTCATGGGCCGTGGGAAAATGGGCATCAGAGTCTAGGCTTTCAGGCCCTAGTCCAGCAGCTGACGTCGGGTCGTACATGGATCGGGAGTAAGACCAGTCAGATTGGAGAGAACATCAGGCAGGGGGTGTTGTCATCGGCCGAGAGCG